ACATCTGGCTTATTTTTAATTTTTTTTGTAGAGATGAGGTCTCACTATGTTGCCCAGGCTGGTCTTGAATCCTGAGCAAAAACTATCCTCTCACTTCAGCCTCCGAAAGTGCTAGGATTGCAGGCGTGAGCTGCCACACGCAGCCTAGTTATGAAGAATTCATCTCAAGGTCAGCCGAGTGGAAGAGACACCAGGTATTGGGGATGTGTAGAGCTTCTAGGCCCTCTCTAGGTGGGCTGTCCTCCCAGCACCTTGTGTGCTCGCCAACCCAGAAGCTTCTCTGCATTTTTCTTTAAAGCAATTTTTTTTTTTAACAGAGATGGGGGTCTCACTATGTTGCCCAGGCTGATCTGGAACTCCTGGGTTCAAGTGAACCTCCTACCTCAACCTCCCAAAGCGCTGGGATCATAGGTCTTAGCAACTGTGCCCACACACTTTCTACATTTTTTCTGCACCCCATATGTTTGTATTTTTCTTTCTAATTTAGCTTGTGATTTCTTTCATCTATGGGTATTTTAAACATTTGTGGTTTGGCCAGGTGCAGTGGCTCATGCCTCTAATCCCAGCACTTTGAGAGGCCGAGGCAGGAGGAGCCTGGCAGGTCAAGGCTACTGTAGCCATGAACATGCCACTGCACCCCAGCCTGGGTGACAGAATGAGACTCTGACTTAAAACAAACAAAATAACATTTATGGTTTCTTCCTAGATTTTGTTGTTTCTGATTTTTGGTTTAAATTCCATTGTGGTCCCAGACTTACACTTTGCTGATTTTACTGCTTTAATATTTATCAAGCCCTGTTTCATGCTCCACAGTGTGGTGGTGATTTCACATGCACTTGATTGTGTAGATGAGTGTGGCCATGGACACAGTGATTGTCTTTAGCCCAGGGGTTCCTCCGGCCAGCCTGCCACAGCCAACCCTTCCTCGCCCTGCCCTAACCCCTGGCAGCCACTTATCTGTTCTCCTTTTCTATGATTTTATCACTTCAGGAATGCTGTATAAGTGGACCCACACAGTGTATAACCTCTGGGACTGGCTTTTGTCACTCTGCATAGTCCCCTGAAGATGTGCGCACTCCCTCACAGCAGAGCAGCATTCTATTGTGTGCACCACAGTTGGTTCTCCTGGCTCCTGTGTGTGTACCTGTCCATGGCATGTGGGCATCTGAGTTGCTTCTGGTTTTTGGTTATTATACATAAAGCTGCTATGAAGGTTCATGTGCATGGAGTGGGGTTTTTTTTTTTTTTTTGAGTTGGAGTCTCACTCTGTTGCCCAGGCTGGAGTGCAGTGTCATGCTCAGGGCCACCGCAGCCTTGACCTGCTGGACTCAGGTGATCCTTCTGCCTCAACCTTCCAAGTAGCTGGAGCTACAGGCATGCGCCACCACGCCCAGCTAATTTTTTTTTTTTTTTTAAGCTGTAGAGATGAGGTCTCGCAGAGTTGCCCAGGCTGGTCTCCAACCCATGGGATCAGGCAATCCTCTCATCTCGGCCTCCCAAAGTGCTGGGATTATAGGTGTGAGTCTTTTTTTTTTCAATGTGTGTGAATATACATTTTCATTTTGCTGGGTTAAAGCCTCAAGAGTGCAGTTGAGGGGTTGTATGAAGCATGGTGGTGGTCTTGTAAGCAAGTGTCACCACTTTCCATTCCCACCAGCAATGTCTGGGTGAGCAGTTTCTCTGCATCTTCACCAGCCTCTGGTGGTGTTGCTGGTTTTAATGTTGGCTGCTCTGATCAATGTGTGGTGCCATTGTGGCTGTTGGTTTTGTCTTTCTGGTAGCTACTGCCGTTGACCTCCTTTTTGTGTACTTGTTTGCTCTCATGTGTTCTTCAGTTGTGTTCCTTCTTGGATTTTCCATTTTCTAACTGGATTATTTGTTTTTTAAACTGTTGAGCTTTGCAGGCTTCCCATTCAAGTTTTTTGTCAGGTATGTGGTTTGCAGATTTTTTTTCCCAGTATATAATTTTTATTTTCATCATCCTAACACTGTTTTTACAAGCAATACTTTAAATTTCCATTTTGTCTACTTGACAGGTTTTCATTTTCTGAATTGTGTTTTGGTGTCCAGTGTAAGGACTCTGTCCATTACTGGAGCCTGAAGATACTCTCTTGTGATTTCCCTACAAGTGTCATAGTTTTATATTTAAGTCCACAGTCCATTCCAAGTTAATTTTTGTGTAATTGCAAAATTCTTTTCTTTTTTGACTTTGGCGTCTGCCAGCCCAGCACCATCTGTTGGAAATGTCTCTCCTCCACCGAATTGCTTTGGCAAGATATTTTCACTGGGTGTGGTCTAGATTGATAGTGTAGGACTGTCTCCTTCAGATGCTCTCTGGCTCTGTCCCTGGCCTGCACAGTGTCTCCAGCGACGTCTTTTTATCCCGGGAGCGCATCTGTGCCTGACCTCAGCTCCCAGTGCACCCACCTTTCTTGCCCTGCCGTTGTGGTCATTGCACAGCCCTGCAAGAGATCCCACTCTGCAGGCTGATGCAGTGTTCGACTCTGTCACTAGAGGGCGCCGGAAAGACACCCCAGGAGAGTGGGGGCTGTTGTTCCTGGTCTTGGGGCTTTGTTTTTCAGGCTTCTGTGGTATGCCTGCCAGCAGCGTAGGGGATGTTCAGTGACACCTTCCAGTGGTCGGATTGCTGGCACATTTCCTGGCCATCTAGCTCCTAGGGATTCTGTTTCCCTCATGGCCCAGCAGTGGCTTCCCTGAGAGTTGTTGGAGCCCTGGCAGGAGGTTTCCTGCTCTCTGGCCTTGGCCTGCTGCACCTTGGCCAACTTCATCAGCTGGCGCAGCACAGCCACAGCCACAGCCACCCTCCATGTGAGTCGGGTTCTTGGTTGCTGCAGGGTCTGAGATTTTCACTTCAGTCCAGAGACACAGCTTCTTGGGGTCTGCTGCCTCCTGCCAGGTGGTGGGGCTGCTTCCCGGGCCTCCGTGCTTGTGTCCATGGACATCCCCGCACATGTCAGTGGAAAACCTGCTGTTGCTGGTCATCATTCTTCATGTTAAATGATCCCCCTTCAGATGACTTAGGTGGTTTTCCCTCTTGACTGACTCCTGTACATGATTTGGCTCTTTTGGCTGCTTTTAAGATTTTTCTCATCTCTGGTTTTCTGTAATTTGGGGGGTTTGTGTGTGTGTGTGTCTATTGTGTTGGGGGGTTTGCTGGATTTACTGGGTTTGTTGCTTTTATGAAATTTGAAACTCTTCCCGCTATGCACATACTTCCCCCTCCCCTGTTACTCGTACAGACTTCCTTGATCTGGCCGCCTGGGTTCTGTGACCTTCAGGCCTGTCTTTTGTTTTTCACTTTGCGTAGATTCTATTTCTGCATCTTCAAGTTTTCAGCTGCTGTTAGTCTAAGGCTGAATGTTTTCCATGTGAACCATAGTATTTTTCATCTCTGTAAGTTCAGTTTTTAAAAATATTTTCCATTTCTCTTCTAATCATAACTGCTTTTTACAGATAGATCCTTGAGCATATGGTGCATGTTTAAAATAAGTGTTCCTTTTTTGTTGATCCCATTTTCCTTGTCATTTCTAGGTCTGTTCCTTTTGACCACAGATGCTCCCTGACTTGATGACTTGATTATGATTTTTCAGTTTATGAGAGATTTATTGGGCCCCTTCGTAAATAAAGGAGCATCTGTAATTTATCTTCTACTTATAGGACACATTTTTGTGCTACTAAGTATGTCTAGAGTTTTTTTTTTTTTTTTTTTTTTTGAGAGTTAGAGTCTTACTCTGTCATCCAGACTGGAGTGTAGTGGCATGCTCCCGGCCACCGCAGCCTCGACCAGCTGGGCTGCAGTGATCCTTCCACTTCAGCCTTCCAAGTAGCTGGAATGATGGTCATATGCTACCACGCCCGGCTAATTTTTTGATTTACTGTAGAGATGAGGTTTTGCCAAGTTGCCCAGGCAGGTCTCGAACCCGCAGGGTCAGGCAATTCACTTACCTCAGCCTCCCAAAGCGCAGGATTACAGGCTGAGCCACTGAGCCCAGCTTTTTTTAAAAAATAGAGACTGAGGTCTCACTATGTTGATTAGGTTGGTCTCAAAACTACTGTATTCAAGTGATCTTTCTGCCTCGATCTCCCAAAGTGCTGGGGTTATAGGTGTGAGCCACCATACCTGGCCATAGAAAATGTTTGATTGATTACCTGAGGTGGTGTGTTCATTGGTGAGTGCTGAGTTGGTGTTAATTATTTTAAAGACTGTCACACTCTTTCTGGCAGGCAGTTAAGCCCCTGTGGATTAATTAGATCTTTTTCAGGTTTGTTTTGAAGTTTATTAGGACGGGTCTAGAGTAGCCTTTCTCTAGAGAATAGTTGAGTCTCCTCTAAGGTATGACCCTTGTGGTGTCCCTGTGGAATCCCTGTATGTCCAGAGAGGTCTCCACGCTGGCTGGGGGGACGAGATTGACTCCTGGACCTATGCAAGACCTAGGAATTGTCCTGACCTCCTGGGACAAGTCTTCCCTCAGATTTCCTCTTCCTGGCATCTTGGGATTTTACAGAATGTATAGGTTGGTTCTGATGAGGAACCAAGAGGACCTGGTGCAGACTTCCCTCAAGCCATGTAGCTCCTTTCCTGGGGCTCTGTTCCAAATTCTAGCGGCTTTGGCCTCTGTACCCTGACAAGCTGACATATAAATACAATCTTTAATCATTTGTACCACCTTTAATCAGACTGCTGTCCTAACCATTACACAGGGAAATGTGTGCCTAACCTTACAAGGCTTAAGCAATTCTTTCTCAAGTCTCCCTGGGAAGACTATGCTGATCAGAAGGGGGAGGTGATCCCACTTGATGAGCCCATGTGAACACCTGGCCACATCTGTCACTTGAGGGCAGAAAAGAATACAGTGGACTTCTGCTTAATTGACGATATTGTCATTAGCTGTGGGCCATGTCTAGGCTGTGGGATGGGCAGATGTGGCTTGAGGGGTCCTGTCTGGTTAGTCCCGATAGCTCCTAACTTTCAGCAGACTTCAAGTCATGATTGTGGTGGTGGCGGTGCTCTTGAAAACCGGGTTATCCTGGTGGGAAACATAAACATGGGCTTGTTAATGTATGGGGACTTCAGAGCAGAGTCCTCTCTGAGGCTGAGTCCACCCAGAAGCCATCACTGGGGAGGAGCAGAAGAAACAGGGCAGCCCTCGCAGGGTCATGGCCTTGGTGGCAACCTCACCCACAACCATGTGCACTCAGAGGATGGGGTGCGGTGAGGGGGCTGGGGCACAGCCAAGCACAGGATCACGGGCTCCGACAGCAGGAGCTCCCAGCGTGGGAGGTGTATATCCCTCCTTGTGGGACCCCGAGGGCGGGCACTCACGTTGTTCTGCTGGAACTCAGGCTTCTCCTTTTCAAAGCGCCTACGTTCCCTGAGGTACATCATGGCCTGCCAGATGGCCAGCAGGAGGAGGCCAAACAGCTGGAGACCCACCACGGTGCTCCCTATGATGGTGGCCATGCTGTGGCCCTTCTCACACTCTGAAGAGGCACATGACCACAGTGTCAGTCCCACTCTGCCTCACCCATGTGTGTGTGGCTCCAGGGTGGACAGAGGTTCCCATGGCCCCAGCTCACGGTTCATCACTCTTGCTCTGGGTCCTGAAATCCCAGCCTGGCACCCTCTGGAAACAAGGCCAGGCCCCGTGGTTCCACGTGAAACCTAAGCCCTGTTCACAGAGGACAACATGGGGCCGGATCCTCAGCCACTGAGGCCCAAGCATTAATACTTGGGGTAGGATACAGTGACCCTCAGCACCACACAGCAGTTTAGGGAAGAGGACTCATGCTCCCCCATGATGTTGCTGCACAGGAACCATTAGTGGGAAGCAGACCCCTGTTCTCCTGCAGGCTAGGCTCTAAGGGATGGGTAGGCGGGGCCTGGGGGCTGTGTAGAACTGTCAAAGCCCTACCCATTCCTGTGTCAGCTTGAGGCCCAATATCCTGGAATCTTCTGTTCTTGCCACCCAGTGTCCCTCTGGGCTGACCTTTCTCACCCCTTTCCCCTACCCCCTCACCCCCATCTGCCAGCCCCCTGGACCCTTGACCTGACGAGCTCCTCCTGATCCTCCTCCCTGCGCGTGCAAGCTCAGGCTCTGCCCACTCCCCTAGACCCTGCCCTTTCTGCCTCCCACTGTCAGTTCCTGGACTGAGCAGCTGCTCAACAGGTATATGTCCACCTGGCTGACAGGTGGACTTTTGACATCCCTTGGCCACACTCCTGAAATCCCACTCATGGCTGTCTGATGCATTCCAGAGCAGATCTGAATTCCTCCCAGGACTCAAGACCCTGTAATGACCCTGTGCCAGCCCCTTCTGCCCATACTTTTCCGGTCCTCCCTCCCACTGATGCTCTTCCATCCCCCTAGAGATCTCTGACCCTGGGGACCCTTCCCACTGTCATTCTGCCTCCTGGTGATGCTGCCTTGGGCCTACACCCCCAAGTCTGGGCTCCCTCACCACCAAGGAGAGAGAGCCTGCACCGGGTTGTGTGGCCCTCCAGCAAATCTGACCCCTAGTGCCGAGTGGCACTACTGCCAGGGCACACAACATCTGCTCCCAAGGCGGAGGCAGGTGAGGAAAGGGAGGTGGGGGGTGGAGTGGGAGGATGAGCCGCCAGCCTCCTGCAGTGCTCTCCCAGGCTGTCATGCCCCTCGCCTGCTCCTCGCTGTGGACAGGAGATCCCTCTGCGGAGACCTCGTGGCCACTCTGTCACCATATCCCTGCCCTGCCCCCAGCCCACCAACCTCACCTCGGCTCTTGTTCACGTGGATGTCGTATTGGTCCCACCCATCCCGCTGCCTCAGGGTGTAGGTCATCCAGCAGCCCTTCGAGTCCCGCCCCTTGCAGGTCCTGCCCCTCATGGGGGTGTTCTGCAGCCGCAGGCCCCTGCATTCTGAGCTGCAATTCTTCCTGAAGGGGCCCTTGTTGAACCTCAGGCACTCAGCACAGAAGCTGTGGGGATGGGACGTGAGCGGGATATGAGGTTGTAGGGGGGTTCGGGTGTGTGCCTGGGGCTTTGGGGAGGCAGTGGTAGTGTGAGAGTGGGGACTGAAACTTGATCCCAGGGACCCAAGAGAATGAGCCTGAGATTCCCTGGGCAGGGCCACTGCTGCACATGAGAGAGGTGGGCATGGAGGCCAGGTCTGCTGAGAGCTCCCAGCTTGGGGTACAGAGGGCTCCCTGCTGTGCTAAGGGTGTTCGTTGATAGCTCCCAGGTGAGCCTGGCAGGGAGTGGCCCCAGGCAGCCCCCATACTCACATGTACTGGCTGCAGGGCGAGGAGCAGCCTGGGCACTCCTGACACAGGGGCGGCTGGTAGCCCTTATCACACTGGCATGCATTGCAGTGGCACTGGCCACGGCCGCTGCACTCCACACGCTGCTGGTTCAGACAGCCCTCGGTGGCTTTCTCGCACTGGCAGGCTGAGCCCTCAAAGCCTGGGAGGCAGCTGCACTGGCCACAGAAGCAGAGCCCCCTCCCTGGAAGACAGCGGGCCCAGGACTCACCTCTTGCTCAGCCCAAAGACTGATGCTGTCCCCTCCACCTCATGCAGCCTGTCTTCCAGCAGTGCCCTCCTGCTGTGACCTCTGAGGCTCCATTTTGGGAGATGAGCATGTCTGAACAAAGGGCAGTGGACACAGCCAGGCCCTCCTGCCTGGAAGCCACATGGCTACTTCTTACCCAGTCTGTGTTTCTCCATGCCGACCTGTGAGTGGAACCCTGATCAGGCTGAGGCTGTCATCCCTTGGGACCCTCCCTGTGAAGATGCCTCACACTCACGGACAAACACGGAGGCAGGGCAGGTTGGAGGTTGTTCAAGGTCCTGCGGCTGCCAAGCAGCCATGCAAGAGTCATGTCATCTGTCTATCCCTGCCATCCCTTCTCTCTGTTTCTCTTATTGTCTTCTAGCACACAGTCAGGGTCAAGTGCATGCCCAAGAAAGGATGGCAGCTGCCCGCTTGCACCCTCAACCCTGCTGTGGAGGGACACATGCTCACCCGGGCCACCGCAGACAAGGCCTTCAGTGCGCTCACAGTTGACATTGTCACACTCGCAGTACCGCCCGTAGATCTGCTTGCCTGGGATGTCACTGGCATGACACACACACTGCCCACAGATGCAGTTGCCCAGCCCCGAGCAGAGGAGGGAGCTCTTGTCCTTCCGGCAGCTTCCTTCCAGCTCCTGGCTGCTTCGGCCCTGCGTCTGGCACTCACAGCTCTTCCCGATGTGGCCAGAGTCGCACCTGGGTAGGATTATGTGGGGACGAGGGGTCTAGTCATACAAAGACAGCAGGCGCCATGTATTGGGCACATTCCCAGGTCCCCCAGAGGTGACCCCTGCCACAGGCTGTCCTGCATCCCAGAGGTGGAGACCAAGGGCCAGAGCATATGTGACCATAGCAGGAACCGTGATGGACTCGTCCTTAGTCTCATGGGGAGGCCATCCTAGGGCCGTGCACCAGGACAGTGGGCAGTGTGGTCACTGAGGCATAGGAATGACCACAGAGACTGCAGAGGCCACCCTGTCCCAAGCTTCAGGGAGGAGGAGGGAGGTGGCATTGCAACCAAGGTTGGACAGGCATAGACGTCGGGAGAGGAGAGAAGGTGGGAGGCGCAGGGTGGGGAGGGCCTTGGGGTCGACTCAGCAGCTCTGGCCAGGCAGGCGGTGATGAGAGGGTGGGCAGCCAGGCAGGGCAGTGATGAGAGGGTGGGTAGCCAGGAGGGGCACGACCCAGTTGGTATTCTGTGACCTGGGTCGGGCCTGGAGGGGTGAGGCCAGTGCCCTGTGAGACATGAGCCCCTCTCCTGCCTCCCTCTCAGTGTCCACTCTCCCCCTCCTGCTGACTCTGGGTCTCAGTTTCCCCATCTCGCACACAGGGAGCAGTTGGTGGAGCTATCTTGGCCATTTGGGAGTACATGGATCTGCTTGGTTGTCCTTCTGGGGGTCGCGATGGGGGCTGCATGTGGTGGGGTGGGCGGGCGCCTGACGTTGGGTTAGAGGCTTCACTGTTGCTGCCATTGTGTTTGGGAACAGCACAGATTAAAGGAGGCCATTGATCCTGAGTGCTCTGCAGACCCTGGACAAATACCCCACCCTCTGCCACCTGAGGAGGCTGAGGCCCTGGGAAGGACCTTAGGGGAAACAGGAGGGGACGGTGCAGGAGGAGGACACTTCTGAGTGGGTACAGTCTTCTGTGGGTTGCTGCTGGAGTGCCCCAAACCCTGAGTGGGTGCAGCCCTCTGTGGGTTGCTGCTGGAGTGCCCCAAACCTGTGCCACATGACCTTCCTGCTGGGAGCATCTGCGTTCTCCCTTCTTCCTGAGGCAGGGTGCCCACACATGATTGCACCCTACTGCAGGGGGTGTGCGTGCACATGTCCGAGGGTAGTCTATGGGGCCCAGGCTGCCAGGAGCTGTCACCTGTCCTGGGAGGCACAATGGCCACGGGGTGCCCTGGGCTGCTGGCCTGAGGGTTCTGGACCCCTAAGGGAGAGAGATGTAGGCTCACAGAGGACAAGCGAGGCTGGGCAGGGAAAGCACCCTGCCAAGGCCACTGTGCACCCAGCAGTCTCTGGCTTCCTGATGGGTCTCTATCCTCTGGTGAGGGAGTGCCCTGCCCGCTAGTCCCTCTGCCGTTGTCCCCCATACTAGAGATGTGGAGTCCAGGGAGGCACTGCTGAGAGACCTGGCCCAGGAGAGGGGGTGACGGAGGGGCTTGGGGTCCAAACCCCAGTTTTCTTCCACCACCTCCTGCAGGAGGGTCCCCTGGGACACCTGCTCCTAGGAGATGGGGAAGGGTGCCATGGGTCTCCTGCACCCGCCTCACCTGCAGACGCCACACTCCAGGAAGCCCTTGCCGTGGCAGAGGCTGCGGTCCTGGCTGTGGTCCTGGCACTGGCACTCACACTGGGGAAGGACCCGCACGGTCACTGTGTCCTTGAAGCCCAGTGGCCGGATGACAAAAAATTGCTCCTGGATGCACTCTGTGGCTGTGACCTCCACCTGGAAGTTGATCTGGAGGGAGCGGTAGAGATCTGCTGGGACCCTTGGGTGCCAGGGTCACAATCTGCTCCCAACCCCTCACCCACTGGCCTCTGCAGGGGCCTGGGGGAAGCGTGTCACTGTGGGGAGGAAGAGCTGACCCGGAGCAGAGGCTCAGGATCTGTGAGGCTGGAGTGAGCTGGCGAGGCCCTGGCCAACTCCCAGAGTCTTCAGATGGTGCAGTAAAAGGGGTTTAAAGTGAGTTTTGGGGGTAATTTTTCCACATGACTTGTACATAAGTCCAGTCTGCCAAGATGCCGGAATCCCACAGGAAGTCCAGGGTCGTGGACACGGTGTTCTTCCCTGACCCTGGGACCTCGGATGGTGGCAGAGAAGGCTGACACCATGGGGGCAAGCGCAGCAGAAGGCACGTGTGCAGACAGCCCTGTCACGCATGCACAAGTACACACACACCCTGCAGTAGGGTGCAATCGTGTGGACACCCTGCTTCAGGGAAGAAGGGAGGACACAGGTGCTCCCAGCAGGGAGGGAGTGGCGGCTTGTTCAAGGCAAGCTACAGCTAAAATACAAAGAGCAGAAATATCAGTAACAACTTGTACATGCCGTCAGTGAATTATAATAAAATTGAGTACATTTCATTCAGATCACCCAGTATGAGGGGAAATATTTTGGTAAAAATTCACCTGCAATGCTTATTAATAGTAAGTAACATATTCAGAGGAATTTCAATATCATTAAAAATGCAATGAGAACATGTATTTTCCTATATATTGGTTCACAGCCAGCAAAAAAAAAAAAAATGATTAGATTATAAATTTAAACTTAAAATATTAGGGAAGTAATTCAGTGCCTATTTCTGATCATCTGTGTGTCCCATGCCTTAATGCTTTTGTTAAAAAAACAAAACGAAACACAAAAATCAGGAAAAACCAACCCAGCCCTCTGTGCATCCCCTGCCTGCCTCCAGGACATGCTGTCATCCCTCAGTCCTTCAGTCCACACTGTCCCCACACTGATTTGGGGTTCTGTTATATTGATAATTATGACTCTGTGGGCCAAGGAAGTGCTAAGCACCTTTCCATGCCCTCTCTTGAACACTTATGACAAACTTCAAAAGAAAGTGTCTGGCTTCAGCAGAGAATGCTTGAAAAAAAATTGGATCAGCCAGTAGACGCTCACTGCCTCCCCCATGGCCTCCATTGGAACCTCCGTGTGCCTGTGTGGGCCCTTCTGGCAGGCTGGGACGGAGACCCTCGGTCCTTCCAGCTGTCTCTGAGACCTTCCCAGCATGCTAGGGTGGAGACCCTTGGTCCTTCCACCTGTCCCTGACACCCAGCATGCTGGGACAGAGACCGTCAGTCCTTCCAACTGTTTCTGAGATCCTCCCAGCATGCCAGGGTGGACATCCTCGGTCCCTCAGCCTCGTGGCCAAGCTCACCGTTACATCGATCTGGACACTGTCACAGTCTCCTCGGGGCTGGTTCTTGCTGGATGCTCCGTTGCTGCAGAAGGAGTCGTAGGTGACTCTCAGGTTATCGGGGAGGGGGCTGTGGTCCAGGAGGACCCTGGAGGAGAATTTCTGTGGACAGAGAGCAGCCACTTAGGGTTAAGTTGTTGCACTGTCCTGTTCCTCCTTGGCACATGGCTGGGCCCGTCTCCATTTCATCCCCTCAGGTCACCAGCACCACTAATGATACATGCATCCACTAAGGGCACAGCAGGATATGCTGAAGATACCAGGACTGGCAGGACTGCTAGTACCACAGTCCTGTCCCCAAGGTATGCCCACTGCAAGACCAGGGCAGGATGTGAGCCCATGGAAACAGGTTCTTGAACTCTCCCCTGGCCCCAGAACCCCCAGGGGGCCTAGCTTAGGTCAGGCGCTAGATACACTGTTAAATGAGGAGGGAGATAGAGACTGAGGTGGAGAGAGAGATTGAGATAGACACACAGAGGGGAACAGAGATAGAGACAGAAACAGAAAAAACAGACTGAGGCAGAGAAACAGCGATACAGAGACAAGATACAGAGAGACAAAAGATACACAGAAGGAAGAGAAGAGACAGAAACAGAGACTGATGCAGATACAGAAAAACAAAGGACAGAGAGACACAGACAAGGAAAAAGTGGCAGAGACTGACAGAGCTTGATATTGGTGGTCGAACCTATGCTGGTGGCGTCATCTGCGTGAAGACAGAAATCATGAAGGCAGGGACTGGAGCGTGGGGCTTGCTTTGGGAACTGTGTTCGTGGGGGCTACCAGAAGCAGGTGGAATATCCTCTGTGGGGCTCCAGCTTAATTCAGTGACAGCAGCGTTTGCTAGAGCCCCTGACATGCTGTACCCTGTCAAGCCACCAGGACAATTTGCTCGGAAGGGTCTCAGGCCAGAATTTCCAGACTCTCTCTTACTTGGGGTAGGTTTCCAGAGTGGCTGGGACTTCTGGGGCCCTGAGCGGGGCCTGGTGCCCACCCCATGCCCACCAGGAGTGTTGGGCCTAGAGGGAGCAGTCCTAGGGCAGCTGGACAGGCCACGCACCAAGGAGGAATTCGGTGGATGAGGACCTCTCCGGCACTTGCACGGGATGGGATATGGGCAGTTGAGACACCAGGGACACCCAACCCCCAGGGCACCTTCATAGGACCCAGAGCCACCATGGGTTGTCCAGGGCCGCTTCCCCCACCCGGGTGCATTATTTGTCCCTAACCGTCCACCTCACTTCATAGAGACCAGCAAAGAAGCACCCAGAGGGAGGAGGGTCTGGAGCTTGTGTTCAGGGAGTGACGGGGAGTCTGGGGTGACACACACCACACCATCCACGAGAGGACACAGATTGCCTGTGGAAGGGCCTGGTCGTGTGTCCAGGAGGCTGTAGCAGCCCATCGAGGCAGGGCCTCCTCCCTGGACCACCCTCTGCAGAGCTGCAGTGGGGGCAGATTTCCGGCCACCCTAGCCCCTGCAGGTTTGCCCAGCTGGGGAGGGAGACTCACGTTGTAGGCATTCTTGATGAACTGGACTACATTGCTGGAGTCCTCCGACAGCTTCCCAATGGCTGACTTGGGGATGATCTCGGTGAGCTTCTGTTGGGTGAGAAGACCAGGCATAGCTAGGACGTGGGGTAGGTGGACCTCACGCCCAGCTAAGCTCAGTGCACCAGGGAGCTCCACGTGTGGGAGAGAGTGCTCATTCTCAGCCTGTTGGAGGCACTGCTTTGCCCTGTGGGGTAAATGTTCCTGCCCTGGCTTATTCCAGGGGGGTGATATGGATGCCCCCACTCGCCAGGCTCTCCACCATGCAGGACAGTAGGTGGAAACAACCCCAAGAGTCTGGATCATCATAAAACATGGTGAAATCACCAGAAAGTGATGAGTTCTGAGAACTTTAATTAGTTTACATGACTTGATTCTAACGATGGTGTTAGCCCTGTGACATTGACTCTGGCCAGTGCCAGCCGGTCCAATGGTCCCTGGGGTGGGCAGATCGGGGCACCTGTGATGCAGACAGGCCCTAGCCCACCTCCCACACCCCACGCTCCCTCAGCTTAGTTCAAGGGTCATGCTATGTTCCAATCACTTCATCCTCCAGGAACATAAAACAGAGGGTCAAACCCTCCCATGACTCTGCAAAGTGGATTCAGTCCCTCCACAGAGCATGTGAGGACTGTCGTAGCCCGGCCGCCTCCTCTGACCTCTACCACTCACACCCATCTGTTCCGCCAGGCCCTGTTGGGAAATGCTGGAGAACTGGTCACTGGACCGTATGACTCATGGTGAGACCATAGCTCTCCTCTCAGGCCCTCCCTACGTGGTACCTCGTTCTGGCCCTGGGACCACGCACTGTGCAGGCTGCTGTGGGATGGCAGCATTTCTGGCATTCCCTTCTGGCAAGTCCTGGTTGCACAGGACAAGATTACCCCAGCAGGACCGGGCAGGCCACACCCTGCATGGTCCACAGTGCCCTGGCTGGGCTCCTAGGGGGTGAGCTCTAGCCCTTGGGATGTCCTGGCTGATGGGACATCTTTGTTTACCTGGGGCCTGGGCCGGGCCAGATGATCTAACAGTGTCAGTTAGGGTGGGGCCAGGGCCACAAGAGATGGTTCAACAGTGTGATTTAGGGTGGGGTCTGGCCAGTTTAGATGGTCCAACAATGTGATTTAGGGTAGGGACCTGGGCAGTGTCAACTCAATCTTTGGAGACTGAGGTCAGCCTCTGTGTCCAACCCCCAATGAAAACCCTGATCATCAAGCCTCCCTGGGGTCAGTACTCCCAGCTTACTGTTGAACATGTTTTAGGAGGACTAGGCACTGTCCACACCTCCAGGGAGGGATGCCCGGAAGCTCGCTGCTGGTTTTCCTGCACTCCACCCGTGCATCTTTACCTTGGCTAACTGTAATCTGTATCCTTTACTGTAATAAACCAGGACTGTGGTTTAGTGGTTTTCTGAACTCTGTGCATCCTTCAGCAAATCACTGACCTGACTGTGGTCTTGGCAACCCAACCACGCCTGAGTGTCTTGAATGCACCATCCTGGACCCTGGAGACATTGTGCAGCACAGCATGCACTGCCTTCTCATGCCAGGCCACACACCTGGCACCAGCAGGACAAGACAATGCCTACAGGCAGAGGGGGTAAGAGGCCGCAGGATGCCACCTTGACCACCAGAACGTTTTCTCCTCCACCCATGCTCTGTGACTTCTTTGGATCCAGTTGCTGCTGTCTTCAGAGATGAGGTGTGGGCAGCCAAGACACCAGGGACACCCTCTGGTGATGCCCTCTGCTTTGTGGGCTGAGGGCACCTTGGCAACAAGGGTCAGTCTCTGCTTTCATCTAGAGACCTCGATTTTCACACTGGTAGAAGGGCAGTGAACTCCCTGGCCACTGGGCTTTGGGGAGGTCAGGCCTGGTTCTAGCTACACTTTCCAGACTCAAGGCACAAGGTACAGACGATGAGGGGGGAAGTGCGTTCTGCTCCAGGTGGGTGGATGGGTTGTTCAATGCCAATGCTGAGTCCCAGAGATTTTGTTTTTGTTTTGGCTTCTGCTAGTTGAGGTGTTTATTGAAAGTCATTCCAACCAACAGATGGAAGGAAGAGTGTTCTCGGTGTGACCAGCCATGTTTCCCAGGAGGCAGCCTTCGAGGGGGCCCCTTGTGAAACTCCCCAAGCTCCGCTCTAGAGACTGTGAACTGCCCCACACATGTCTTATACTTCACAAAATGTTACTGTGCAAATGTACAGGACATAAAACAAGGACATGTCCATAAAACAGAGACTTGGACCTACAGACCCAAGACACTTGCCATGTTCCAGCAAAAGCAGAAAGCTCACCTCTGACACCAAGACATGTGTGGTTAATGTGACTGAGATTCAAGGACAGGGAGGAGTTCCTTCCTGTACCCACACGTAGATGTTGTGTTGCCTGACAGAAGCCCCAGGCTCCACACCCGTGGGAAGCCATGGCCCCCGCCAGCCAGCTGCCTACACGCCCAGCATGTAGGGGCAGTGCTGGGGTGAGCACCATCCAGTTGAAGAGGTGGGTCTCACCCTGCTGCTCAGGACCCTCCCCCACTCACCTCGTAGGTCTTCATCATCCTTTCCGGCACCATGAAGATGGGCTGGATGTTGTTTTCCGCTAGTTTCTGTGCCAGCTGGCCCACTGACGGGTAGTCCTGGAGAGAGAGATGCCAGTCCGCTGCCTGAGACTGGGACTGGCCCCCTGGGTTCCCCTGCCACCCGTGGAAGCAACTGCGCAGGGCTCAGCGCGTGTCAGGACAGCTCAACACGGCCTGCCTCGGGTGCTGGGGGCACCTTCTCGGGGCTCACAAAGGAAGGAAGTATGGGACGATGGGGCACCCATCAGGTTGGGCAAAGTTAGGAAACATGGAAAGTTATGACATGCTTCTTGATTGATGCATGGACAAGGAAACTGAGTCGCAGGTGACCCTCCTGGCTTTCCAGAATTTACCCAAGTGTGAGTGGCATTTTATGGCGTCCATGCCATGGGGTGCTGGGAAGCACCTCAGGTGTCTACTGGGGGCAGAATCCCAGATGTCCTCCAAAGCGGCCCCTGCTCTCACTCTGAAGGATGCCCATTTTTGGCAGAGGCTGGGAGCATGAGGCACTCCTCCCTGCCCAGACCTGGGACTCCAGGTAGAGGATGCTGAGTTGTGTCATCTCTAGAGTCCTTTGCAGCCCTCAGAGTTTACGGCTTCAGGCTGCGAGAGCATCCTGTCACAACCAGCAAGGACAACCACCATGAGAGGTGGTAGCTTCAGACCTGAGGCTATACATCCAGCCAGAGTGTTCCTGACTCTCCATGCATCAACACACCTCAGTGGGAGGGAAGCTCGTCCTGGCCTGAGTTTCGTCCTGGCTCTCTGGCTCCTCTGTCCCTCCAGGTGCTGGTGGCAGGGGAGGGACCAGGGAACAGCCCGTGTGGCACTGGGGCAGCTCGGGGAGGAGGCGGGTGCCCAGGATGGGACCCCAGGTCCAAGGGGAGTCTTGGGGAAGGCAAGGAAGCTCTGACTGCAGCCTGGGGAGAGTGACAGTGCCTGTGGGCCCCTGCCACCTGCCATCTTTGGGCATAGGGGTATCAAGTTGGGGGACCATCAGCAGGGCCCTGGCGTGTCCCATGAGGGTGAGACCAGGCTCAGCCTGGTGGCCTCAACCACCCACTGCCTCCTCTGGCCTGAGGCCCTCTCGAGAGGCTCAAGACTGCTTGGGACTTCTGGAAGTTTCCTTGTGGATTTGCTATTCAGTTTGGAGGGAGGCTCTTGTGACCTGCTCTCTCATCCCTTCCATAAACTGTCCTGCCAGGCAGTATCTCAGAGCACACAGTGGAGATGGGGGGCAGTGGCAAGAGGGCAGACAGAGGGAGTGGGGAGCACTCACAAATTCATTGCTGCGTTTGTACATGTTGTCTTCCAGGTGGCAGTGGCCATCATTGGGGATCAGGCCCAGCTTCCTGTCGCCTGAAAAGTTTAAGCCATTGTTGGTGGTGAACACCAGCAGCCGTGTGACATTGTGCCAGCCGATTTCCTTCTGGGAAGAAGAAGATGTTGGGGGTTACCTGCCGTGGTTTCCTCATCTGGGCCCTGAGGCTAGTACTGTTGCCCCTTCCTGCAATCATGGGAGACTGTGGAGACAGGACCCAACCCAAGGTCAGTCTCTCTTGTGTCCAGCCAGATGCCAACATCCAGGAGAGGATGACCTCCCAAACACTATCTGGGTATGTGAGGAGGAGAACTGAGATGCATGTCTAGAGTTATGGAGAGAGGTGCCCCTGCAGCCCCTGCATTCCCTGAATTTCAGACCTGGGGGTGCATCCTAGAGAAATAATCCCCAAGAGAAAAAAATACTCGCAGAAATGTTGCCTACAGCCTAGGTATGATGGTACGTGCCTGTAGTCCCAGAACTTTGGGAGGCTGAGGTGGGAGGATTGTTTGAGACCAGGCGTTTGAGGCTACAGTAAGCTATGATCTCGCCACTGCACTCTAGCCTGGGCAACAGGGTAAGACCTTGTCTCTCAAAAAAAAGAGAAATGTTGTGACCACAATGTAAAAACAGTGCAGGACAAAAGAAAGGACTGGGGGAACCACAGTGGGGTGTTGTGCCCACCAGGGATGGCCCCTTGAAGGTGTGTATGTGGGGAGCACATGTGTCCTAACCTGTGACCTCACACACACGTGGACAGTGTGCATCTGCGGTGGCCCACAGAGAAGTTGGAAAGATGAAGCAGGTTGTGAGGTGAGGCCTGTGTGTGACCTGAGACACGGTCCCCTGGACACGACGGTGCTGTAGCAAGTTCGGGCTTGATGCTCGGGACAGCACTGCCCTCTGGCCTGGGGAGAAGAAACGGCACCACTTCGGGAAGCGTGGAGACCAGGCTGCCAAAGGGCCTTGCTTTACACGTGGCCACTTGCATAAAATTTTGGCTTCAAAGATTTGTCCAGAGTCGTGAATTTTTAAACTTTTATTTTAGATTTGGGATTCCTGTGCAGGTTTGCTACATGGCACATTGTATGAGGGTGAGATCTGGGTTTCTGTCGAGCTCATCACCCAGATGGTGAGCGTCGTATCCAGTGGGTGGTCTTTCAACCCTTCCCCCCAACTTCAGGAGTCCCCAGGGTCTGTTGTACCCCCCCTTGTGCTCGTGTGTGCTCAGTGTTTAGCTCCCACTGATGAGTGAGAACATGTGGTATGCGATTTTCTGTTTCTGTGTTCATTTGCTTTGAATAATGGGGTTGTGAATTTAATTTACAGCTGACGATAAAAATCTGTGGATGATCTTTGGGGCTCTGGTGCCTGCTTCCCTCCCCCCTCCTTCCTCCCTCTCTCGATCTCCTTTCTGGATGGTTGGGTGGTGATGAGGGTGGCAGGGACTGCCCTCCCCAGGCCCAGGCCGGGTGGGGACCAGGGTGGGGCCCCCGATGGAGCCTCCTGATGGAGCCTCTCTTATGGGAAAATCTGAGACCCAAGTGGGGAAGCAGCCTTACCGGGCAGGTGGCGATCTGCATCATGGCGTCCAGCGAGCTCTCAGGGGCGTCCAGGTTCCAGGAGATGAGCTGCTTCCTGACCTCAGCCTGGAACTGGTTGAAGTTGCGGGTAGGCTTTAGCACATGCCTGAAGGTCTCATTCACGATGAACCCGAAGCCTGAGGGTGAGAGCAGGGGGTGGGGGCGGGGGCACAGACTGACCTCTGAACATGGGACTTCAGGGAGGGGCATGGGGTGAAGCCTCAGCTTCCCTATCCCATAGCAAGGAGAAAGATGGTGCATGTGTGTGTGTCAGTTGTGTGTTATGCAAGCATGCGTGTGTACATGTGTGTGGTCGTGTGCATGAGAATCTGGGAATGTGTGATCATGTATAGGTGTGAGCGCAAGAGTGTGATCAGATATGCATGTTAGAGTGTGTATGTGTATGCATGGTCTTATACATGGAGGCATGACTGTGTGTGGACGTGAGGGTGTGCGATCATTTACATGTATGCATGCATGTTTCCATATGCTCACGAGCATGCGTGTATGCATTCATGTACATGCTAACATGAGTGTGTGAGCATGTCTGTGTGTATGTGTGGTCTTACACATGTGTATGTGCACATCCACATGTGTTTGCATGTGAGCATGTGTACCTACACGCATGTGCGTTCTATGTTCATGTGTTTGTGTGTGCAGTGTACATCCCTGCATGTGGAGAAGGCAGCAGAGTGCTATTCTGGGTGGCAGTGCCAGGTGAGGCTGAGATGTCCCTTGTCTCTTACACACGTGTGTACCTGAGACCTGCACTTGGTAATGAGTGAGTGCTTGCTGAGCACTGAGACCCTGTGCCCAGCAGAGCTGCTTTGATTATTCTTGAATGCTGTGATTACAGTGTAGCCTACACCTTTGTGGTCCCTAATGCTTAATAATTAGCATGGTGAGACTCTTGTCTTTTAAACAGACCAAAAATATTAAAAGAAGAAGGACAAGGAAGAAGAGGAGGAAGTGAAGGGCTGGACAGTGTCCACAAGTCTCGGGGAGCCAGTGACTGGACATGGCCTCTGGCAGGGACGGGGCCTGACTGCAGGGGATGCTTTGGATAATGGGGTTGTGAATTTGGGGGACCTGTGTGCATGGAGGTGTGCGGGCAGCAGGGGTTGCTGGGTCTGGGGGAGGACGGGGCTGGCGGCCAGCAGCTCTGCAGCCTCACCGATGCGGCTGGATGCGGTGATCTCACTGAGGGCCCGGAGCAGGTCTCCACCCAGCTTCTCTATGTTCATGGGGCCATCGGGTGGGGAGTAGGAGGGAGCTGTCAGGTAGTACAGGTCTATGGGGTAGTCCTTGGCCCGCTGGAAGGTCACATTGAATGCGGCCACCTGACCTGCCGGAAGAGAGAGTGGCACCTTGCACCCGAGCCCTCCAAACGTCCCCTCACCGCACCTGGTGGGAGGGCTGAGGATCCAACACAGGGTGCCCAGGGAAACTTGGGTTTCAGAGAAAGGACACACCCTCCCAAATACAGTCACTTGCCACATGATGCCATTCTGATCAGCGAGGGACCGTGTACCCATGGTGGCCCCGTAAGATCACAATGCCGCATTTTTGCTGTACTTTTCTATGTTGATATATATTTATATATACATCTGACATTTAGGGACTCATGTCACAGAATGTGCCCCCATTGCTAAGTGATGTGACTGTATAAGAATGTCCACTGAATGTTTGTATGCCCCCCCAAATTCATGTGCTCAAATCCTTACCCCCAAGGTGATGGTATTAGGAGGTGGGGCCTTTAGGAAGTGATTGGGTTTGGATGAGGTCATGAGGGTGTGGCCCCATGAATGGGATTAGTGCCCTCATGAAAGGGACCCCAGAAAGCTCCCTTGCTCTTTTTGCCATGTGAGGACACATGAGAAAGTGATGGCTGTCTGCAGTCCAGAAAGGGCCCTCTCCAGAACCCAACCTGGCTGATGCCCTGACCTCAGGCTTCAGCCTCCAAAACTGTGAGAAATCAGTGTTTGTCGTTTAAGCCCCAGTGTCTGGTAGTTTTCTTCTAGCTATTAAGGCACCTTGTGATGTTCGGGACATACATGTACTAAGAAAGCTCGTGGTTTATCTGGACTCCCTCCTAACCGGGTCTCCATGTCTGTGGTCCCCGAGAATTCTTTGTCAGTAGCTATAAGGAGCTGACACCATGCAAACCTGTCCAGGAAAGGCCTCTTGGGCTGTCCTAAGGAAGCCCTTTCTTGACACTCCTCAGCTTTTATTCTTCATCATCATACCTGCAGTTTCTTTCTTTCTTTCTTTTTTTTAGTTGGGGTCCCAGTCTGTTGCCCAGGCTGGAGTACAGTGGCATGATCACAGCTCCCTGCAGCTTCAAACACCTGAGCTCAAGCAATCCTTCCACTTCAGCCTCCCAAAATGCTAGGATTGTAGGTGTGAACCACTGTGTCTGGTCTCACACCTGAAGTTATGGAGTCACTCTGTTCTCAGCTCCCTGGGGCCTGGCACATGTTGGTTCTCCACAAACGTGTCACGCGAGTAAATAAGCAAGGGAAGGTGACTGGAGCCATCCTTTCTGTCCCTACTCTCCTGCTTTCAGTCCTTATTGGGTGACCGGTCAAGTATAGACTCTGCCCTGCCCCTGGTCTGCCTGCTGTCACACCTTAGGAGAAATTGTATGTGCATACTCTCTCTCTCTCTCTCTCTCTCACACACACAGACACACACACTCTCTCTCTCTCTCATACACACAAATACACCTTATGCACACACACATAGTTGCACACATACCAACATATGCACTCACACACATACACACAAATACACCTCATGCACACACAATCACACATAGCATACATATACTCACTCACACTCACACATGCATGCACATAACACAACAGACACCATATACATATACAAATATGCATCCACGCATCACACATGCACACACCAAACACCAGACACACCATTGACATATATATGTACACACACACCATACATGCACAGCATATACAGTACATGCAATTTCACATACACACAAATATACCACATGCACACACAATGCACTCACATACACACATTCACCCATGTGCCCACTTGCTCCCTTCTGCTCCCACCTGCACTCACCTGCTCCCATCTGCACAACCCTGCTCCTGCCTGCACCACCTGCTCCCGCTGCACATGTGCTCCCACCTGCTTCCACCTACACTCACCTGTATTCACCTGCTCCCACCTGCTCCTACCTGCACTCACCTGTTCTCACCCAGTCCCATCTGCTCCCACCTGTACTCACCTGCTCACACCTGCACTTACCTGCTCCCATTTGCTCCCACCTGCATTCTCTTGCTCCCATCTGCACCCCCCTGCTGGCACCTGTTCCCACCTGCACTCAGCTGCTCCCACCTGCACTCACCTGTACTCATCTGCTTGTTCTCACTTTTAAAAAAAGACACAAAACATAGGGCTGAAAGAGAGCCCAGACACCTGTCCACAGACAGGGGTGTTGAGGGAAATCTGCCTGGAGGGGCTGTGGTGGAACTCAGACTGGTCGTGAGGTTCTCAGCAGTCCTTGGACCTTCCTGGCCCACCTTGCCATTCAGCCCAGACACACATCCCCTTGGGTCTGCCCTGACACCCCAGAGCAGGGTCCAGCTCCTCACCAGAGCCCAGAACAATCTTCACATGGGGTGCTTGATTGCCCTGGTCAAGGCCATGCCTACCTGGTCGCAGATAAAGTGTCACTCTTTGTGGGGACAACTGCTTGTGACCTCCCTCTTGGTCCTCCTGGGTCTTGGCAAGACTCCTGGGGTCCATGATGTCATTGACTGCACAGCCCCGCATGAGCAGCTGTTGCCGGGTATCGCAGCGAACGGAGTTGGGGTCTCCTGGCCCAGTGAAGTTCTGGGGACGGGGAGCTAGCTGTCAGTTGGGGTCTGGGGGCCTCCTTGTCTCCTTCCCATCTGTACTCAGCATATGGGACAGAAGTCCCAGTGGGAGTGAGAAGGAGTTGCATGGACTGCCAGGAAGACCCTTGGCCCCCAGACAGCCCCTGGAGGCTTTCAGACCACAAGTAGAGCCCTGGGCCTGGTCTGCAGCCCAGACACTGACAGCCCAGACAAGAGGGATGGCCTCCTTGGCTCAGAGCCAGAGCCTCCGCATCACCTGGCCACTGGCGCAGGGGAGTCATGACCTTCATCTGCAGAACCTTTACCCCAGGGAGCTCTCTGTCCAAGGGGAAAGCGTGTGTCCCTTCTCAGCCAGCATGGCAGGCCTGGAGCACCTTGGGAACCCTGGAACACAGGCCAGGGTCTGGGCCACGCCCCTTGCAGTCCAGAGGGGAGTGTGAGGGTCTTGGGTCCAGGGCACTTTCCTCTTGACCACTTTGTCCCCCTAGAGGCCCTCTGAATTCTGACATGAGCCATATTTGGCAGGTCCTGACACTGGCCAGCGCCTGCCACACACAGAAGCCATGCTAACAAGAGAAGGTGCTAGAGACAGCATGTTTGTATCTGCTCACTTTCACTGGGGAAAGCTCTGGAAGAACAACCTAGAATGCCTGACTGGTTCCCATGAGTGGGGGAAGGTGAGGGTGTAGAGGAGGTGAGGGGTGGGGGCAGGGCCACACTTCTTGAGTGCACCTCTTTGTAGGGCTTTGACTTTGGGAACACGGGAATGATTTAAGTACACAAGACATTCTCAGCAAGAATGGAGAGAAGAGAAAGCCTAAAGTGAAATCCACACAGAAGCAAATGAACAGTGTTTTTTTTGGGGGTTGGGTTTGAGTTGGAGTCTCACTCTGTCGCCCAGACTGGAGTGCAGTGGCCACTCCCGGCCACCACAGCCTCGACCTGCTGGGCTCCGGCGATCCTTCCGCCTCAGCCTTCCAAGGAGCTGGAACTACAGGCACGTGCTACCACACCCGGCTAATTTTTGATTTATTGTAGAGATGAGGTCTCACCAAGTTGCCCAGGCGGGTCTTGAACCCGCGGGCTCAGGTAATCCACTCACCTCAGCCTCCCAAAGGCGCGGTATTACAGGGTGAGCCACCGAGCCCGGCTAACAGTGTTTATTTCAAATGAATGGAATAACCTCTAGGAAGGGGAAAAACCAGCCTACCAAGAATGTCTAAACCCAGGCTTTGGCCATGCCCGTCAAGTAAGAGAGCAGAACAGAGAGGACCGAGGCTTCTCCATGGAAGGTTGCTTGTGGCGGTGGTGTGGGCTGAAGATCCTGAACCCCCTGTGTGTTGTGGGTCTGAGAAAAGGAGGAAGCTGGGAGCCCACTTATGGAGAGGAGCCAGGAAGCTCAGGAAAATGGCTGAGTGCAGGGCCCGGAAGGGAGGACAGGGTGGGCCTGCAGTATCTTGTGATTCCAGAAAGTAAGGAAGTGCTCAGAAAATGAAAAATGATGGGGACATATGGACTGATGGCTCCCCATGTGCCCATCAGGGTCGAGTTGAGCATTGAGATGAAAAAAAATAATAGTCATAGGCTATGAGCTACTGAACAAAATAAAAATCTATGGGTCATACTGAGGGGTGGGAGAGGGAGAAACAGAGAAAGATTGCAGAAAGAGAGGGGAGAGAGGACAGACAGGGAGAGATTGAGGGAGGGGAGGTAGGGGAGGGAAGGAGAGAGAGCAAGAGAGAGGGGGAGAATGTGAGACAGATTGAGAGGGGGAGAGAAGACAGAGAGGGAGGGAGGGAGAGAGAGCAAGAGAGAGAGACTGAGATAAGGGAGGGAGAGACCGACTGGGGAAGAGAGGGAAAGGCAAAGCGAGAAATTGAGAGAGATTGAGAGGGAAAGAGGGAGAGAGGGAGGGAGGGAGCAAGAAGGAGAGAGAGAGATTGGGGAGAAATAAAAATTCTTCCTTCCTTAGAAGCCATGGGAAGGCATTAGGCGCCAGAATGTGCATTTTGCCCCTGGCAGTGATACCTGATCCAGGCAGGAGGCACAGAGGGATGCTGAGCTCTCAGGGTTAGTTTGGTGGGAAAGTGTTTTCTGGCTGGAGAGTGACTTCTGGGAAGGGAGGCATCATGGCAAACCAGGCAGATACCCTCTCAACCAGCGGGCCGTGCCCATCTCTGCAGGCTGGGCCAGAGGAGCATGTGCCTACTGTGGGGGGGGGGCACCAAGGACTCCTTCACAGTGTAGCTCCCACTGGGGCACCTGAGCCAGGTCAGAGGAGACTCAGACAAGACCATCCCTGGGGTACTCCACAGAAGTGCTATCGTGTATTCTCAGAAATGCCTGGGTGAAAGACAGAGAAAGCCAAGGAATGTTCCAGATTCAAGGAGGCGAGGGAGACCTGACATTGGAATGCAAGTGTGACCCGGATTGTAAGATCTACCAGGAAAAATGCTAATGAAGATGCTATTGGAACAATTGACATAATTTGCATAAGGTGTGTAGATTTGATTGCAATAAGATACCATTGTTAAATTTCCTGATTATGATAAATGTACTCATCCAATATAAACATAACTGGATTCATCAACATGCATTCGTGTGGTTGTATAAGTGAAAACCTTGTTCTTAAAGAAGACCCTTGAGACACTAAGGGACAAAGGGCTTCATGTCTACAACCTGCTCTCAATGGGTTCGAAAAAGTAGTAACATGTGTTCCCATGTGTGTTTCCAGACAGATTGCCTGGTCAGACCCTTAGGACCCCCAGGGAGGTTTGGTCAGGTGTGGGGTTCCCCTGGGAGGAGGTGTGGTCAATGTTTGGGGACCCCCTGGGAGGAGGTGTGGTCAGGTGTGGGACCCCCAGGGAGGTGTGGTTAGGTGTGGGGACTCCCTGGGAAGAGGTGTGGTCAGCGTCTTGGGAACCCTGGGGGTGAGGGAGGTGTAGTTGGCATCTGGAGACTCCCCTGGGAGGAGGTATAGGATGGGACTCCTCACAGGAGAGGATGTTAGCCCCAGGAAGTATCGCCTTAGGGCCTGGCCATCATCCTGAACCCTCTGTCTTGGGCCTTCCCTTTCTCATCAGAGGGAGTCACAGAAAAAACCATAGCTTAACTAAAGACAGAGAGGCCCAGTTGGGAGTTTCCCTGCATTTTTCCATCCTGGGAGCTGGGCTGCCCTCTGTCTGGGGCACTCACTGCTCAGAGCACCACTGGCCATGCTGCCACCCTCCTTCCCGAAGCTTCTCTCCCGGGTTTTGGGTCAGAGCCCACAGTCTCCGCTGCCCAAGCTGCATCAGGCCCCTAGGCTCCTGCCCGGGCCATGGGCTGGTCGGGGGCATCTGTCTCTCAAATATTCCTGTGGCCCTGTGGCCCCTGGGCTGATGGAGTTGGTTCTCAGGGGCTCCTCTACTTCATCAGGTGGGGCCAGGAGATGGGAGGGGGAAAGGTCCCAGGAGGCTCTTACCAGCATCTGGCACCAGGCGCAGCCGGGTCCCGACTCTACGCAGTCCCGGCAGGTGCTGGCCTTGTACTTGGGACATTCCTGGGAAAGGACTGGGGGAGGAGACCCTGGTGAGAGGCGCTCTGCCCGCCCTGGGCCAGCCCCCGAAGGGTGAGTGGAAGAGGGGTCAGAGGAGGCCCAGGAAGAGGGCGAGGGCCCCAGAAGGAGGGTCTTTGAGTCAGCACCTCCCACCAGACATGTAGAGTTGCCACCTCCCTACACATGGGGAGATCCAGGCTTGAGTCTGGGACCTGCTGCAGCGTGATCTTTCCCCAGCTGCCCAGAAACTTCTGTCCAGGGACACAAGAGGGGCCCTGTCCTCTCTGACAGAAAGTTATCCATGGAGATGCCACTGCAGAACTCACCTGACTGGAGGGAGAGCAGACCCACCAGGGTGAGCATCGGGGGGCTCCAGCCCAGCATGTCCTATGGAGAAAGGGGACTTGATGACAAACCTTGGCCCCAGACTCTGTGGTTGACCATCCACGGTGTCCCTCCCAGCTGTCCTGTGATACAGCTGGGGACCTGTCCCTGCCAGAGGGAGGTGTTAGAATTGATCAGGACAACACAGTCAGTCATCCGAGTCCGTGGGCTGGGGCTTAGCTGCCAGCCAGAGGGAGGGAGGGAGACCTGCTAGGCAGTGTGGACTTACATCTGTTGAGGTCAGGCGCCCTGCAAAGAGCAACACGGACATCCACACACAAACGCATGCACACTCCACCCACACACACACACACACAGAAGTACACATACCACACCCACACTCCACTTCCCAATGCAGACACTACACACACCACACGTACAAGGACACACGTACATGCATGCATGTATATGCTCTCACACACATGCATACACCACACATGCACACACCACACCCACACACACACATGCACACACATACAAACATACACATATGTGGTGTGAGCACTCTTCCCTCTCGCCCAAGCCCTCGTGAGACTCGCCTGCTCCACCTCTTGGCGGCAGAAGCAGGACTAGAAAAGAAACCAACCCTGACACCCGCGGGGACGGGCTGTGTGGGAGAATGTCCAGTTACTTCTCCAGGTGGGGCCAGAAAGGACCGGGCAGGGTCACCTGTCTTGCCCAAGCTATCCTGCCGCTGGGGGACGTGCTGTTTGTTTCTAGACCCGCACCCACCTGGGTCTTAGAAACCTAGGCTTAGGCTGGGAGTGGTGGCTCAAGCCTGTGATCCCAGCACTTTGGGAGGCTGAGGTGGGAGGACTGCTTGAGCCCAGTCTGGGCAACATAGCAAGATCTCATCTCTATCAAAAAAAAAAAAAGTCAGGCATGGTAGTACATGCCTGTAGTCCCAGCTACTCGGGAGGCTGATGAAGGAATATGGCTAGAGCTCAGGGGCTGGAGGCTGCGGTGAGTTGTGACGGTGCCACTGCACTCCAGTTTGGCCAACACAGTGAGGCTCTGACTCAAACAAAAAAACCAAACAAACCAGGTGTGGACAGCCACGGAGGCTGCTCTGTGACCGGTCCTGAGGTTTCCAGAGGCATAATGTCCATGGCAGGGCAGAGTCTGGCAAGCTGGAGGCCAGCAGCGCCTACTTAGCTGATGGCACTTGGTCAGGAACTGGCAGGGCGCTCTACCCTCTGCCTCCCCTCCCCCTGCCCTGGAGATGTGGAATCGCACTCTGATCTGGCTTTCTGGAGGAAAGCCAGATTTCTATTTCACACAGGGCTCAAACCATCTCTGAAAGCCTCCATGTCTCTCATCCCTGGGGCTTGGGGCTCAGACTGTGGCCAGTTCGTTGTCCATCCAGGCTCCCCAGTGTTCTGCAACTGGCTGTCTGGTCGTGTCACTGACCCCCTCAGCTGACCCGGGCCCCACAGACAACCTGGGGCTTGCCTGCTCCACATGGAGAGGAGTGTGGCTCTGGGGAGGGCGCCTCTGGGTGGTGGCTGAGCCCAGACAAACGGCAGTTCTTTGAGCTTGGAGGGCAGATGAACAAAGGCCCAGCTCTGGGAGATGAGGCAGAGCTCAGAGTGGGGCGACTGGGCCCCAGCTGTGGTGACCAGCCCTCTACTCTGAGTGGGCGAGCAGAGCAGGGGCAAGCCTCTTCCCATCCCAGCAGCCAGGTGGGACCTCAGAGGCCCAGGGCCTTGACTGAAACCAGCACCACCGAGGTCTGAGAGATCCATTCCTCTACCTCCTTGCCAAGTCTCTCTGGGTCAGTTTCCTCTGTGTGACTGAGGTGGGGGAGAAGGGTTTGGACAACGCATTGATGTAGACCAACACATGGGCTCTCCTCTCGGCAGCGCAGTGGCCACCATCGCCCCCAGCTCCTTGGGTTGAGCAGGCAGGAACAGGCAGGGCAGGCAGGGAGGAAGGGCACAGGCTCCTCCCAGGGGCCCTGAGCCCAGCCCTATACCTGGCCTGCAGGTGGGAAAGCCCAGATGGTCACCCACAGACTCTACCTGCTCCCTGCCTCTGGGCCTCCTTAGGGGTTTTCCGGGTCTAAGGTGGGTCCCCTGCAAGATTTAAGGAGCAAATTTCTAGCTGAGGCCACTTGAAAACCCAAGGCCCTGCCAACCCAGTAGAACCTTGCATCAGCACCGCCCTCAACCTCAGCCCTGCCTGCTAGGGAAGTGCTGGTGCAACCCCAGCCCAGCTGCAGGAAGTAGCACCTGTCAACGTTCCCCCCATCCCTCCCCCTCTCCTTTCAGAGAGCCCCTCAGGGACCAGTCGCCTTCCTCTCCCCTGGCACCAAATGAACACAGCTAACGGGAGCCTCCTCCAGGAAGGACATTCCTCTTGATAGCAGGGCCAAGACACACACGTGGCAGCAGAAGGAAAATCACATGCGAGGCACGGGGTCCACATGGCAAAGAAGGACAAGAGCAAACATTCAGAAGGAAATGGTACTTCAGGCAGGACAGTGGAGGGAGGGGCCACTAGGCTGACAGTGGGATCAGCTTCCTGTTAGAGGTAAAGGTTTTGCAAAGCTGTGAACCCCTAAGGCGAGGCTGCTGGGGAGATCCAGTCCCCGCCAACCCACCTGGAACTTCACATGGAGCCTGCCCTCAACTGTGCAGGGTCCGGGGATAAAGCCCGCCTTGTGCTGTCTTGGAACACACCTGTCTCAGAGTGGCACAGGAGGCAGCGGGAAGTGACGGGCAATACCAGTGGGAGCAGCTTGGGAAGGCGAGGACACAGGCCAGATCTCTGTTCCCAGAGCTGAAGACTCAAGGGACGATTACAAAATAGGTATCCACCTTCTAAAGCTGGAAGCCAGAGCGTCAAGATGGAGTCATTCCTGCCTTGTGTAAACACCACAGAGAACTGGGCAGAGGCTCCAGCCCAGAGGGGCTCGGAGCACCATTCTAGGATACAGGGACTCCAGGCAGTTCCATGGGATAAGAAAGGGCAGATCAGTGAAGAATGAAAGGAGCAGGGAGGATGGAAGAAAAGCCAGCCCATGTGCTCTCTGAACGTCCAACCTGCAAAGCATGTTTCTTCAAGTGTCTAAGAGACAGACATGTTCACGCTGTTCATTTATTTTACAGTTGGGGAAGTCGGATAACAGGACTTAAGGGCCACAATAACCAACTGCGATACAGTAAGACACTCCTCCCTACACATATTAATTAGAAATTTTAAAATACTCTACTAAATACCTCTTAAGTGGAAGGAAAATCAAATTGCATTTACAGACATTTTCTTTTCTTCTCTCTCCCTCCCTCCCTCCCTTCCTTCTTTTGTAGCAGGTCTTGCTATGTTGCCCAGGCTGTTCTCAAACTCCTGGGCTCAAACAGTCCTCCCACCTCAGCCTCCCAAAGTTCTGGGATTACAGCCACTGCAACCGGCCATACAGGCATTTTAGATAAGGGGATGGCATCTTCTCTGTCTGCTACAAAGAAAACCATCTGTTCCCTGATGGAACTGTGAAGCCTGGGGCTTTTGCTGTGGACTTAAAAAAGAATGACAACAGATGTGTAAGAAATTTAGTTCCATGAAATAAAACAATAAAGACAATGGAAGAATATATGTCTCATAGTAAGGAAACCTCTGCATAAAAACGGAAGAAAATGCCAAGAAGACAGACTCTAAAAGTGACAAATTTTGTGCATAACAAATCACATAGAGGAAATATTTAATATCTCGCTAGAGGAAATACTTAATATTCTCGAGTGCAAAAGGGGAATGGCAATCTTCATCTCTAAAGGGATCTTAGAAATTTATAACAAGATGGCAAATCTTCTGTTCTAGGATATTTCTTTTTTTTTTTTTTGAGTTGGAGTCTCACTTGGTCACTCAGACTGGAGTGCAGTGGCCGCTTCCGGCCACCGCAGCCTCGCCTGCTGGGCTCCGGCGATCCTTCTGCCTCAGCCTTCCGAGTAGCCAGAATTACAGGCATGTGCTACCACACCCGGCTGATTTTTTTATTTATTGTAGAGATGAGGTCTTGCTGCCCAGGCGGGTCTCGAACCCATGGGCTGAGGCAATCCACTCACCTCAGCCTCCCAAAGGCACAGGATTACAGGCTGAGCCACCAAGCCCGGCTTGTTCTAGGATATTTCAAGGTCATGGGCTGCGAACAGGTAATTCACAAAAGAAGAAAAGCAACTGGCTAGTAAACATATGAAAAAGCCACCCTGGCGAGTAACCAGGCATGCCAACCAAAATATCTAGCTATCTTGCACAGCTGTCAGATTGGAGGTTTTTGACATTTATAATGCCCACCCAGCAGAATCCCACACAACAACAAAACTATGTAAACCGTGGCTCATGGTGAAAAGTGAATGTGTGAGGGAAAAAAGGAAAAGGGAACTTATCAAACGCCACCCTGTGTTTATCTGGGGGATGGCATTTTGAGTATTTTCAGTTTTCTTCATTATCCCTATTTATATTTCCCACACGCTGGGGTGGCAGGCTCTGTACCTCAGCCTAGCCAGATCTGAGCATCCAAGAGGTCTGCCCAACCCCACCCCGGCCCCCGCATCTTGTGCAAGAGAAGTGAGGCTATGACAGTTGTGACATTTTGAGGGCAGAGAGTGGTGGCCGTGGAAGGCATGGCTGGCCGCCTCCCATGGGCCCTGCCTCTCCACCACGAGTCAGCTTGCTCATGGTTGGGGAACTGGACACCCTCAACCCTGTCCATGGACTCAACAGCCTGCCTCACTCCAGGAGAAGGCCCTGGGTGGGGTCGGGCCTTCGAAGGGGGCTGGAGGGAGCACTTTCTTGCCCTGACAGCACACTGCCCCTCATCCCCTGCCCTGCCTCTGCCCTGGAGGATGGGACAAGGACACTGAGCCTGGGGTGGTTGACTGGTGTTTGGAGTGGCTAGGCACAAACTGCAAGACCGACTGTGAAGAGCCCAGTGTAGTGGCTGGGCCCGGTCCCCAGAGGCCATAGGCAGGTGATGGGCAGCTGGGTGGGGGCCGCCCACTCTGGCT